TGCATCAAAATATACATTGGGATTGGGCACAAGTTTTCTAACTTAAATAAAGACCTTCCCCAATAGAATTTAACAATAAGAGGTTACAAGATGACATATATATGTGTGCAAGGTTCTTCAGTTTACTAGTTTTTATTATTATCAATATATAATTAGCTTTCCAAAACCCTTTGAATCTCAACTGAAACTTAAACTGAGATCTCTTTCATAAATGAATCTTCTAAAACTAAAATTAATTATCTGTTCATTTTTATTTTTAAACTATCAAAGTGAAATCATAGTTGGTCTCGCAACTTTAGAAATTAGAACTCAGAAATTTTTACAACGCACATTGAGTCGTCACACTCAGTGCCAAATCCGACTAGAGCCGACCGCGCTGAAATCTTTGATATTTTGTCGTGATTTTACATTGCAAATGTAGTGTTTACAAAACTTGACTTGACTTATAAATACTTGACTCTCGTCACATCCCGGCATCAGCCGAGGTTAGCCGAATAAACCGAGAAGTGACGAATCATTTATTACGTACGCATTATTTGGCTACGTCATAGCAAGTCCCGATTTGATTGGCTCAAAATGCTCACACCTTCGAGAAAAAAGGTGAAGGTCGAGGAGTCATAATGGCTTCATTATTTTGAGAGTAGGTAGAAGAGAATGGCATTTTCAACCACCACTCGTCGTAACTTATTCAAATGTATGTGCCGAACGACAAATAGGAAAACACTGACAACTCAGGTTTGTAAATGGAATGTACTGATCTTGTGATTGAAACATTTGTTTACTTAAGTGTTGGTGTATCTGACACAGGTCTTCATTTGATCTCAATAACAACAGCTGATTCGAGCCTCAGTGTTGTCACGTTTTTTGAGTGAAACTTTTACAACTAGAATGTCCTCCTGCTATTAACCCATGTTTTAGTTGTTTCCAAGTTATATATGTTCGAGTCATTCCAGGCGTAATATACATATATGTCCTTCATGTACATACATAATACTACCGTTCCTGACCATGCCCATCCATCAAAGCAGATGCCGATGACAATAAAGGCATATTGTCTCAGTAACAGTTACTGTAACATGTCAATGTTTTTTTTTGTGGGAACGAACCCGTCTATTGATGGATATCAATACATGTAGTTTCTGTAACACTTCAAAGTTTGATATTTGAATGACTGGCGCGGGAGAAAAGCAATGGCATGGTCAATATCTCGTTCCAGGCCTAATCGTACACATGTTTGTTCACGTGATGTTTTGATCGACATTTTTTGCATTTAAGGTAAACAACTTTATTACACCAAAGGAGTATGTTACATTTGTAACGTTATAAAAGCAGTGTTACTTGTTTCTTTATAATTCTTTCATCAGACATTCACAATTTGTTACATATGTTACAATAAAAATTGTACTGTTGAATGAATAACAGGAGAACGAAAAGAAAAAGATAATTTAGGTCCTAGGATTCTTGAAATTCGTTTTCAAGCCAGCAGTGATAAGAAAGTGCAGGGTCCATCATTGTATTTATAAAAAAAAATTTTTTTTAGTGATTTATATGATCATTAGTGTCTGGACACTTGAGTGGGTTTTTTAGCTTCACTACCGAGTAGTTTGGTTATCCAGCAGACATTGATTCCTGGAAACAAGACTCCAGCATTTTTATATCAAGCTCATCAACTGATATTGCTTCTTGGATGGCAATCTACTGTGCAGTTTGTCCATGTTTAGCATGTTGTCTTTATAACCATATACTGAGAGTTACTCCAGTGTCAGTCTACTTCAAATGTTTTAAATGAAGGCAAATTTACTCTATTCATTCTAAGGAGGGAGTCTATATGCACAGTATACTTTCTTTGAAGGAGAATTGTCAAACATCTGTTTAAATGGACAGTACTTCTCTCCTATTGCAGACTTTTATAAAGAATAATAAAAAAAATTGGGTTTAAAACCAAATCATATCAATGTCATTTGAAGAATTGAATAGGTAATGTGAAGGAGTGTTTCAAGCATCACATTGACAAGAGTGAGTTTTTTTACATATATTTTAAAATCAAAAGTTAATTTTACTGGGTTACGACTTCTGTTGAGGTGAAATTGTGATTTTATGGACCTGATGAGAGATACTAACCAAGACAAGGTTAATATCACTTTTCAGCTCTGTATATAAAAGCAGTACCACACATTCACAAAAATAAAGCTCCTTACTTGTTATGTTAGATATGAGATTAATTATAAAACAAGATACAGATAGAATGAAAAAAAAATGTCAGAAGAAAAGAACTCCTTTTGGCAGAAAGTGTTTTGATGTTACAATGAATTGAAGTGACATTATGTAGAGAATATTAATCTACTGTTTCTAAAAATACAATGTAGGGAGATCAAATTCACATTCTGAAATGAGGACCCACATGTGATCATGTCTTTACCAATCATATTTCAGGAAATGTATTCTTCATTACAGTTTTATTTTCATTTGGTACATAATATACAGTTCAGATGCACCTTAATGTTGTCTTTGTCTCAATTACAGACTGACATGTTAAAGTTTGGCTTCATGTTTGATATTGATGGTGTCATTGTCCGTGGGAAGAAGTTATTACCATATGTTAAAGAAGCATTCCAGTTACTTACAGACAGATACGGTAACTTCAGGGTCCCAGCTGTGTTTGTTACAAATGCTGGGAACACCCTCCGTCAAGACAAAGCAGAACAGCTCTCCGAATGGCTTGATGTCAAGGTAATAAAGTGTGATAGAAGTATGTGATGGTGCCCCAGTGACATGAATGCTCCTGGTGCTTAGGAAACTCTAGAACGAAAGTTTGCCTTTACTATAGATAAAAATTGCTGCAGTTACATTGCTGTATACCTGTATATATACATTTAAGTAATATGTATTGTATACATAATCAGTTTTTATAGGCAGCACTTCACATTTCGTATGTAGAGTGACTATACTGTTGTTTTAAGAATTGTTTAACTTGAATCAAGTAAAAGTTAAAGACAAATTTAAAAGGGAGTTTGCTTGTTTAATCTTGTCTTTATAAATAAGAATAGAGATGGGGCAATGGTAACAGAGTTCAGGAGAGAACTGTTCCAGATATTTATAGCTTAGACTTCCAACAGTATTCCTACAGTTTATACATGTAAGACTTTTTGTTTCATAATCATATGATAATCCAAAACATTTCCATTGGTGCTTAAATGATATGGTATTAATTTCTAAGAGATCTTCTTCCAATTTTTATTGAAAAACAAAACTTGCAATCAACTAAAACCATAACTTGTGCTCCTTGAAATAAATATTGTATACTTCAATTTGTTATTTTGATATTGAACAGGTGAGTAGTGATCAAGTTGTGATGTCACACAGTCCTCTAAGGATGTTTCCAGAGTTTCACGATAAACATGTACTGGTGTCCGGACAAGGTCCTGTGGTGGAGATAGCACAGAATCTGGGATTCTCAAAAATCACAACGATAGACCAAATACGTCAAGTTTTCCCTAACTTAGACATGGTGGATCACAAGAGAAGGAGATCATCTGTAAGTTGTAGGATTTTCTTGGCCTGCATGTTGGTATCATCTATTATAGTTGACAAAATTAATCATTTAATAAAACCTAATTAATAGTTCAGATTAGTAAGAAAAAAATAACAGCTTCTAAGTTGTAAAGAATATGAAGTTTGAAAAACGTAAATATTTAAAAATTGTATGACTCACAAGCAAACAAGATCATCAGTAACATGTGAATAATTTGGAGCTCAGTATGGAAGAACTTGAATTGACAATCTACAGGAAATATGAGAAAAATGGCAGCTGCAACTTTGTAGCTGGTTAAAAAGGTTTTTGGTAAATGGTATATTTGTAATTTTGTTTTTTTCAGCCTAGAGAAGAAGACATGAGATTATTTCCACCGGTAGAAGGTAGGTATAAAAGTTATAGCTCACACATATAACTATTTATTGAACGGTAAATGTGATAACCCTGTTTCTTTATAATGGGGGGGGGGCGCTATCCAGTCCATAAACTGTCAATGGTCCTAAGTCCTTTGCATTATCAGTAACAAAAATTGACCTGTGCTATGTCCAAACTTTTGCCAATGTTGACCTTTAATGTATTGCTTGACTGTGTTGCTGTTCTCATTAAAATCCAGTTGCTGGCAAAAGTAGCCAGCTATTCATCAACTTTATACAAGCTATTTTTTCAGAATACATATAGGTCAATGTTATAGCATGTGAACAATCAACCGGCTATTCTGTACAAGTCAACTACCTATTTCTAAACTAAGTGAGATCATTATAGATTCAACATTCTTACCTCTCGGTCCATAATATTTTATGTTGGAAAAACAGACCAGCATTTTGTTGTTTAAAAACACAAGTGTTGGATCAAATTTGAAACAATTTGACTTAATTATTCTTCAGCGGTTATTCTGTTCGGTGAACCAGTGAGATGGGAGACCAATCTACAGATCATCATTGACGTTTTACTTACCAATGGTAAACCCATGTTTGCTCCTAGGGAGATTCC